TCTCTATTTCTTTCTTTCTTTCTTTCTTTCTTTCTTTCTTTCTTTCTTTCTTCCAACCAATCCTCATACGATCATCCCTCTGATCATTACTATTTCAATTACATTTTCCTAATATCTTCTCCGGTTAAGGATTACTAACCATTTTAATTGTTTACTGGCGCAAAATAATCAGATATTCCAAGAGAATCAGCAGAAAACTATGAACCCAAGGACGATTCAATTAACGAAACGCAACATGAGTTTTCCGAAGACGACCTCTTGCGCATTTCCAAAACAATATACATAATTTCAAATGGCGTCATCATTTTGGAAAATTCAACCTCTTTTCTCATTATTTATTTTTCTCCTTCAACCACATCCTCCTAATATTTCAACTCTTCCCAAAAATTTCTGCCTTCTTTATTACCGTCTCTCTCAAAATATATTTTCGTTTTTATTCGTTTTTTTTTATCTGCCCCGCCCTTTCTGTCCTTAACGTTAACTGTAAACAGCTTCGATTTCTACTAATACTAGTGATACTATCCCCCCCACCCCGCCACCGCCAACTCTCTCCTTTTAGTCTGTCTTCTAATCTTTTATGTAGTTCATTTATTTGTACTTTGCAATTGCTCGTCTTTGTCTTCATTTACAGATAAACACTTCTTTTATTTTCATTTTCATTTTTTTTTTAAATTTATTTTCTGTAAAATAGAAAGAAAAAATAACTAAGAAGAAATCTTCACCCCCTGATTTCCTTTTTAGGAAATTTTAAGGAGATCATCCATTTTGTTTCGTTCTTCTTGTTTTAAGCATTTCAAAAAATAGATCTCTTAACTAGAATTACCTCTTTCGATTCATTATCCTTTTTTATGGACATCTTTTGCATTTTTTCCTTTTCACTTGTTGTTGTTGTTGCTGTTCTTCTCTTTTTCTTCTTCTTCTTGTCCTTTCGTTCTTTCTTGTTGTTCTTTCTTGTCCTTCTTCTTCTTCTTCTTCTTCTTCTTTAAACCCTTGCCGTTCCTGTTCTTGTTTCTTCCTTTTCGTTTTCTTCTTCTTCTTCTTCTTCTTCTTCTTCTTCTTCTTTTATACCCTTGCCGTTCCTCTTCTTCTTCTTTTCTTCTTCTTCTTCTTCTTCTTCTTCTTCTTCTTCTTCTTCTTCTTCTTCTTCTTCTTCTTTATACCCTTGCCGTTCCTCTTCTTCTTCTTCTTCCTTTTCGTTTTCTTCTTCTTCTTCTTCTTCTTCTTCTTCTTCTTCTTCTTCTTCTTCTTCTTCTTCTTCTTCTTCTTTATACCCTTGCCGTTCCTCTTCTTCTTCTTCTTCTTCTTCTTGCCGTTCTTGTTCTTGTTCTTTCTTCTTCATTATAGCCTTGTCTTCTTCTTCTTCTTCTTCTTGCCGTTCTTGTTCTTGTTCTTTCTTCTTCATTTCGTCTTTTCTTCTTCTTTTTTATTTTCTTTTCTGAAGTCATCTTTTTTTATGTTTAGGCCCTTTTTGTTTAGGCCCTTATCGTGTAATTATTATTATTATTATTATTATTATTATTTGAGATAAACAGTTAGTGATACAAGTCTTACTAATTAACCCATAGCTGGAGGAGAAGATGTTAATTTATACCTATAAGAATTTTTTTATGGGGATAATAATGTTATACTGATACACATCTTACTATTTAACCCATAGCTGGGGGTGAAGCTTCTTTTTCTTCTTCGTTTTCTTCTTCTTCTTCTTCTTGTCATTATCGTTGTTGGTGTAGTTTTTGTTCTTGTCCATCTTTCCTTCTTCACTAATCTCTCTTAATTTTTTTCCTTTCTTCACGCGCCTTCACCTTTTCTTTTTTCTTTTTCTTCTCTTTTTCTCTTTTTTCTTTTTATTCCTCCCATTCTATTCATTTTCTCATCTTTCTTTATATTCTTTTCCTTTTCCTTTCTTTCTTTATTTTTTCTCTTTTTTTCATTCCTCCCTTTCTATTACTTTTCTCTTCTTGTTTTGTCTTTTGCTCTTTCTTTTCTCTTTTTTCTTTATTTCTTCTTTTTTTTTATTCCGCCCTCTCTATTCGTTTTCTTTTCTTTCTTTGTCGCCTATTCTTCCTTTTCTCTTCTTTCTTTTTCTCTTCTGTCTGTATTTCTTCTTTTTCCACGTTTTTATTTCTTCTTCTTTTCTTCTACTTTTTTTTGTCTCTCCTTTTCTTCTTTTACTTTTTCTTCTTTTTCTCTCCTTTCTTTTTCGCTTCTTCCTTTTCTTTTCTTTCCATATATCTTCTTCGTTTCCATCCTTGCTTTTCTTCTTATACGTATAATCATTCTTCATTGAAATTATGAAATTCATAAAATGAGATATCTAGTAATATTATGTAATGTATGAAATTATGTAATTTATGTAATGAAATTTATCAGCTATCTAATAATCATTCTTAAAATGAGATATCTAGTAATATTATGCAATGTATGAAATTATGTAATTTATGTAATGAAATTTATCAGCTATCTAATAATCATTCATAAAATGAGATATCTAGTAATATTATGTAATGTATGAAATTATGTAATTTATGTAATTAAATTTATCAGCTATCTAATAATCATTCTTAAAATGAGATATCTAGTAATATTATGTAATGTATGAAATTATGTAATTTATGCAATGAAATTTATCAGCTATCTAATAATCATTCTTAAAATGAGATATCTAGTAATATTATGTAATGTATGAAATTATGTAATTTATGTAATGAAATTTATCAGCTATCTAATAATCATTCTTAAAATGAGATATCTAGTAATATTATGTAATGTATGAAATTATGTAATTTATGTAATTAAATTTATCAGCTATCTAATAATCATTCTTGAAATGAAATCTAGTAATAGATATGTATGAAATTATAATTTATGTAATTAAATTTGTATCTAATAAATTCTTAAAATGAGATATCTAGTAATATTATGTAAATGAAATTATGTAATTTATGTAATGAAATTTATCAGCTATCTAATAATCATTCTTAAAATGAGATATCTAGTAATATTATGTAATGTATGAAATTATGTAATTTATGTAATTAAATTTATCAGCTATCTAATAATCATTCTTAAAATGAGATATCTAGTAATATTATGTAATGTATGAAATTATGTAATGTATGAAATTATGTAATTTATGTAATTAAATTTATCAGCTATCTAATAATCATTCTTAAAATGAGATATCTATTAATTTTTACTTTTGATGATGATAATCATAATATTTACAAAATATTGTTAAACACGGAGCCATTTCTTTTATAAAATCATCCTCTTCTCGAAATGTTAATAATAATAATATTATGATATCAAAACATTGTTATACATTGCTTAATATTGTCTTTTCTATTATTAAATAGCGCTATTCTTTGTTAATAATAATAATAATAATAATAATAATAACACTGTTATTAAAGACCACAAACTCCTTACTGATATAACAGTTCCTGCAGACTCCATTGTATCTTTGAAGATCTTCAAAAAGCTATCAAAATACCTTGAAATCGAAATCTCAAAAATGTGGCACATGGGAACATCAACAATCCCTATTGTACTTGGAGCCCTAGGAATGGTTGGAAAAGATTCCAGTAGACTAATTGAAGGGATTCCTGGAAGCTCATGCCTTAAAGAAATACAAAAAATTGTTCTCACAAGTACAGCCCACACTTTACGAAGGACTTTATCTATGTAATTTTTTTTTTTTGTTCAATTGAAAGTGTCATGATGCCATTTCTCACCTTAGGTCTCTGGTCGGGACCCAGAAAAAATGAGTACACACCAGAAATCAGCGGAAATGAAATAATAATAATAATATTGAAATATCGTTAAACATTGTTAAACACTATGTGTTTTTTTAAATCGTGCTCTTCGCTAAATACTACTACTACTACTACTACTACTACTAATAATAATAATGGATAACCTATCGATGCTACTTGAGACTGGGATTTGAAATTAACGTCAAAATTATCTCAGATAGAATTAAGAAATAAATAGAAAATAAAATAATGAAAGAGGTCATTTGAAATGGATGGAAATATTTTAAGCGATTCTGTTTATTTTGAATTTAGAAAATTAAATCGAATTAAAGTTTTAGAAGATTTGGAACGATTAATAGAATTTTATTTTACGGTCGGTAGACAAGTTACCCTAAAGTTATTTGGCTGGTTTTCATAAAACTAGAAAAGTGGCATGGAATGAAAAAAAATTAAAATTAAAAAAATAAACTAAATAAAGCAATCAGAAATCCATAATTAAATAAAATAATTAAATAATAAAATAAAAGAGGGAAAATATTAAAAGCGAAAGCCTCAAAAAAATTGAAGAAAAATGATTGATTATTAGTAAAGTTATAGGAAAAACAGTTTAAAAAATATATATACAAACACATATATAAATAAACACACACATATATATATGAAATGGACAAAGTCCGACAGTCATTTTAAGACATTTTTATGCTTTCTTTTTATAGATACAAATATATAAGTAAATGCTATGTTTATAATAAACAGTATTAAACAACATTTACCAGCCTGAATGTCCGAGAAATTTTCACAGAAGATATTCGTCCTCCAACAGGATACGAACCTGTATCCTATACGGAACCGTCATTTAACTTGACGTGCCTTTACCGATTGGGCCACAGAGGAGTGTTCGGTTAGCAAGGTCGATTTTACTGTCTTTAAGCTAGAATCTTCCATGATTCTCACACGTATATTCATATCTACTCATGGCGTATCCAAATGTAAACAAATGACGTCAGACATTATGAAATGGACAAAGTCCGACAATTATTTAAAGACATTTTTATGTTTATACATTCTTTTTTATAGATACAAATATTTAAGTAAATGCTCTGTTATAATAAACAGTATTAGCAACATTTACCGGCCTGAATGTCCGAGAAATTTTCATAGAAAATATTCTTCCTCCGACAGGAATCGAACCTGTATCCTATACGGAACCGTCATATTGCCTGATGTGCTTTTATGAATTTATAAAAAAAAAAAGAATGTATAAACAATAAAATGTCTTAAAATAATTGTCGGACTTTGTCCATTTCATAATGTGTGACGTCATTTGT